GCGTATCCATGCTAGTTCCTAGCTTCTCCAATGCTAACAGCATCTTATCTACGCTAGTTCCTAGCCTCTCTGATGCTAACACCATCTTATCCACGCTAGTTGCTAGCCTCTCTGATGCTAACACCAGCGTATCCATGCTAGTTGCTAGCCTCTCTGATGCTAACACCAGCGTATCCATGCTAGTTCCTAGCTTCTCCAATGCTAACAGCATCTTATCTACGCTAGTTCCTAGCCTCTCTGATGCTAACACCATCTTATCCATGCTAGTTGCTAGCCTCTCCGAGGCTAACCCAAGGCTAACCCCATCTTATCTACGTTAGTCACTAGCCTCTCTGATGCTAACACCAGCTTATCCATGCTAGTCACTAGCCTCTCTGATGCTAACACCATCTTATCCATGCTAGTCGCTAGCCTCTCTGATGCTAACACCAGCGTATCCACGCTAGTTCCTAGCCTCTCTGATGCTAACACCATCTTATCCAGTTTAGTTGCTAGCCTCTCCGAGGCTAACCCGAGGCTAACCCCATCTTATCTACGTTAGTCACTAGCCTCTCTGATGCTAACACCAGTGTATCCATGCTACTCGCTACCCTCTCTGATGCTAACACAAATGAATAGTCTCCTTCTCATTACTCAGCTCCAGCCTCTCAGTTAGCGGTGCCGGTCTCTCATTAATCAGATCAATAGGTGGCCTTGGAACAGATACAGCCTCCTGCTACGTGGATGTAGCGCCTGCTGGTTGCTCACTGGTCTTAGTTTTGGCCCTCATACTGCACCGTATCAATCCCCCCGTCTGTTTCTCTGCAGAGGCTCCAGAAACTTCAGCAGCTGCAGTGCTGATGATTTTGAGAAGATGATCCTGTTGACAGGAGGGACGTGTCTCCTGAACGTCCCTCGACCCGACGAAGCCTACAGCGCCCCCTTCTGTGGGAACAGCCTGGTTGACGTCGGCGAGGAGTGCGACTGTGGCTCAGAGAAGGTCGGAGGCTGTTTTATTTTGAAACTTTTAAGCCTGAGAACGGTTTGTGCTCCTGTTGGAGGAGTAAATCTAAACCAGTTTAACTCTTTGTGTTCAGGAGTGTGAGGAGGACCCCTGCTGTGAGTATCAGACTTGTAAACTGAAGCCCGGAGCTCAGTGCGCGTACGGAGAATGCTGCTACAAGTGCCAGGTAAACCCGACCCACTGCCTGCCCTCAGACCAGGTGTTTCAGCTCAGATGGTGTCCAGAACCAAACGGAGTCTCGGTGTTTGTGTGTCCAGTACCTGCCGGGAGGAACCATGTGTCGCTCGGGTAAAGACGAGTGCGATCTACCGGAGTATTGCAACGGCTCCTCGTCCCTCTGTCAGAGCGACGTCTTCGCCCAGGTGAGACCTGAGTCCTGCAGGTGGACTCCTCCAGGGGGAGGGGCTTCAGAGTAGCCCCTCCTCCAGGGGGAGGAGCTACTCTGAAGCCGGGTGTTTGTGTTTCAGAACGGGCAGCCGTGCAGGAACCAGCAGGCCTACTGTTACAACGGGAAGTGTCAGCACCATGACGGGCAGTGTCACGCCTTGTTTGGAACCAGTAGGTTTCTCCTCTTGCTTTCCTGTTCAGTCCTCGAGTGTGCTCATCATCATCATCTTCATCGTGTCTTCTTCTCGTCGTCCTCAGAGGCGACGGCAGCTCCTGAGATCTGCTTCAAAGAGGTGAACAGTAAAGGAGATCGCTTCGGTAACTGTGGCTACCAGCAGTACGGCTACAAAAAGTGTGAGAGCAGGTAAGCCTTTATTAGGACTTCGTACATCAAATTTATGAGAAAGCAGAAGGCTAAAGAATAAAAATCCAAGATGGCCGCCAGAGCTAATTTTTAAACTGCAATAACTCGGTCATTTTAAGACATTTTGGGCTAAAATTTGGTTTTTGTGGAAGCTAAGAAGGATCTCCATCACATACCGAAGCTAAATGAAAAATCCAAGATGGCCACCATAACTGAAATCAGCAGTGGGCACAGTTTCCCTAAAGCACTAACGGGAGCTTATTTCCTGATTAGTGCTTTAGGGTTTTGCTAATTTTTTTTACTTATTAGTGGATTAGCACTTGCAAAATTTATGGGCTAAATTTAAAAACACTAATTTATTTCTTTTAAATGTTATTGATCAACAGTTGAGGGTGAAATCTGTCAGACCTGTTGGTCATATGTGTGTCATTTATCCACTAAATCAATGGTTTTCAAATTGTTTTGCTTCCGACCCACAAAATAACAGCTGCAGACACTCATGACCCCAGATATTACTTGTTTACGTAGCAAACTTTGCTAATAACTGATTTGATTTATTGATTCAACAGGAAAAGATTATTAAAAATCAAGCCTGACTCAGCATAATTGCTGTTTTACAGCAGGTTCCTGTTCT